GTCCTAGTCTAAAGTTTTTGCTTATTGATTTGTTGATAATTGTTGGAGTTGAGATTGTCTTTGGAACTTACTATTTCGATGTAAAAATGACAAGCAAATGAAAAGTTTGGGATAAACCGGCTCTGAGGCATTCTCAACTCTGTGATTGATATTATAAATGTAAAAATTTTGCTCAAGTCTGTCATGTTTTATGCTATCGTAAAGTGTTTCTTGTTTCATGTTTATCTTTTCTATCTGTTCGCGTATCTGCTTTTAAGGTCCTCTTTTATCTTTTTATAGAATTTCACTTTTCCTCTTTGATAATGTTGTTGAAAACTGTGGCAATCAGTTGTAGGCTGCCCCGCATGCCATCTGGCGCCCTAAGTAAGCGTGAACAGGAATTTTTGAGGCGCAGATTGGCAACCTGGTTACATTAATCGAGCTTATAAGCTGCCTTATTATAAGCTTACTTGACACATGAGCCATCTCGTTTACAGGTTGCTTCTGGTTAATGCTTGATCTTGTGCCCTCAATGCTGAGAATAGATCGTAGCGGACTTAATGCATTGTCTGGAGAACTGAGGTTGAAATTTGCCCTCATTTTTTCGCGCATAAAAAACCATATTGTGGGACTACTGGATACCGATATTGTGGGACCAATACCCATTTTTTTGCCCATTTCAAAGATTTTTCCAGACGTGAATGTCATAATATTTGATAAGTTGTAATAATGTTTCTACTTTTGCATTAAATAATAAAATTAATGCTGACAGTTCTTCATTTCTCGACTGGGGTTTCATACCTTAGCAGCGGATTTCCAGGGAATGGTGCTTCACAGTATTTGATGAGTTGTAATGCTTTTATTTTTTTATTAAAACAGAAAAATTGGTGCTGACGACTTCGCATTTCTCCATTTGGGCTTCATACCCTGGTACTGTACCTTATGAGATAACGAGGGAGTGGGACGAGGACGGCGGAACAGCGATGCCGGGGAGTCCCGGTGGGTATGATAGTATTAACACGTAGACTGATAATTACTAGAATTCGTCGCAGCATATTTTAACCAGTACCAGAGCTGCGAAATGGGACCGAAGAATAGCAGCACAGGGGACGGATGCATAAAAAAAAAATTCGGCGGAGGAGGGCAACCAGTCCCATAGGACAACCAATCCCTTTGCGACTCCTTCATTCGTTTCGATGGTAAATTGGTACTGACAAATGGCAGGGAGCCAAATCCATTATCGTTTGCTTTTTATTATTGACTCAGAAGAGGTAGCCATCGATAACTTTGTCAGCAGAGAGTAGCTATTGATACGGGTTAATTCTCAGGTTCCTCTAATCCTGACGGTGAACGGATACGATAAGGGGATTGTGTAGAATATATAGAGCCTGCTTGGTTGACCGAAAGCATGCAAAATAGCTTATGCTGGATTTTGGATTTGTGTCTGCTCTTGTTGGATTTTGGATTTTTTTTTTTTCTGGGGGAGGGATGAGGAGGGAGAAAATACTGTTGTAGTAGCTATTGCTAGATTTGTCACATACATTTTGTTCGTAACATACATTTCGTTAAGATTGGCTACTGGCATAGTAGTCAATCTTACGGCAGCAATGTAACGCTTTGTTTTTTAAGAAAATCCTCCCAATTTATTGAATATAACTGAATATAAATGTTGGAATTGGAAATAGAATTGAAATTCGAGTTATGGGATCAGGAAGTTAGGAGAAATTACTAAACAAAAAAAATTAATTTTTGAAAACATAAAAAAACATAGAAAAAATAAACGCAAAAACATATAATGAAACTAAAATATAACTTCTCTATATGTTAATTCGCCAATATTCTGTTGCAGAATCGCAATATTTCGGAGCAGAATAGCCGTTCGTGTGAGTTGAAAGGCGTATGTTGATGGCTTCTGAACGGTTTTTTAATAAGTATTGCTGCTAGTTGGGAATGCATTACTCCTCTGTACTCCGGTTCGCGCGACCAGTTTCTTATCTGAAACAAAATGTTCAAAAATGTTTAAAGGTCAGTTATAAATTTTTCTTGAATTAAAGAGCCCTCAAAAATATTACTTTGAGATTGCTGTCGTATCCATAATGCACCAATTTCTCCTTGCTTGGAGGGCTTGGATCAGCTGTAATTTAATAGTTTGGTCTTTCAAGTATGCATTTGGCAGTTTGTCCAGTTGCTTTGGCCAATTTTTCACCGTCTGGTTTCCAGCTTACCACTGAACTTGAAATTGGTTCGTTTCATGAGTGGGCGGCCAGTCAAATGGTTCTTTCGGCTACGCTTTAGCCCTTTTCGAGACGTTTGTGATGCGCGATAAGCTCCCCCAATTCGTTCCAAAGTTTTGGTTTTAAACCGCTTTTAGACATCTTATCACTTGGGAGAATTTTCCTGTTTTTAAGAATATTTTTTTGCTGGTTTTTCCCAAAAATAAATTTTTTAATGAAGAAATTAAGACTTGCTTATTTTGACAGAATTTTTTCAAAATGAATAAATGCGAAACAACATGGTTTTTTTAAGCAAGAAGTTCAGGGACTGAAAGTTTTGTACCGAATAGCCTTGGGAGCGAAGGCATAAAACGAACCAGTAGATGGCCTCATTGGGTCATTTCTTCCTGTCAAGTGGGTAATTTAGTCATGAGAAATTGGACTGCAGTTAAGATTTTAAAAACAATTATCACATAAGCAGAGGGAAAAAGAAACGACTGAAAATACAACGGTAAAACTAAGAGGGAGCAAATAACAAAGAGGAATAGAGAAGCAAACGAATAGACAGGTGAAAATCTGGGGTGTGATAGAACAGTGAGTTGTTTAATTTTTTAAAGATTTTTAAATACTGTTGCTTTGTAAAATAGAGTTGTATTTTTTTTTTAATTAACAGTTTTATGGATGAAAAATGAGCCCATCCTATCGAACAGTGATTATTTTTTTTCAGGTTGCTGTGATTGGACCGCCAAATGTTGGCAAATCACTGCTAACAAACAGGCTTATAAAAGCAGGTGTTGCTGCAGTAAGCTGTCAAATGGATACCACGCAAAGAAACCAGACAGCTATCCTAACCGAAGGCACAACCCAACTGGTACTTGTGGACAGTCCTGGGACTGTTGGCATTCGACATGCCAGAGAAGTTGTCAAGAATCCGGATTCCCGAATATTAAGCGGTTTGTGTTTAATTTATAGCGGTCCATTCTGGATTTGTCTCTTTGCTTTAGCACTTTATGCTGATTTTAGAAGTTTGCCCACTATCCTTTTCAGAATTTTCAAATGCTTTTTTTGTTTTTTATTTTTTTATTATAGAAATTAGAGTAAATAGCAACGCGCACCAGACTAGCCGGTGCGATCCGCCGCAACAATTGCCTACCAAAGATTTTCACTGCTTTGTACTTTAGTCTATGCAAAAATGATTGAAACATTGAAAAATAGTTAGAAATTGCACGCACCTGCGCATGAAAGCTGAACTCGAAACCTTGAAGGGTGAATATCTTTCCGTGATTCCCGAGTTAATAGTATACCCGCCAAAGTTTTCACGAGGCCGTAGGTGATACCCGAGAGCGTGGAAACGCTGAATTTGAATAGGCAGGGTTGAGCATGGGCAGGGGGTCATTGCCGTAAAATTTCAGTTTCCTAGATTCCGTGGTTCCCGAGATAATAATTTTCCTGTAGAAAATTTTCACGGAGCCGTACTTGTTACCCGCAGGCGGGAGCAAGCTGAATTTAAATTTTCTGGGTAACACATAGGCGGGGGACATGCTCACAAAATTTCAGCCTTCTACCTTCCGTAGTTCGCGAGATTCTGATTTTATCCAAAAAACTTTTACGGGGCCGTACATGTTACCGGCGGGTGCGGGTAGGCTGAATTTAAATTTGCCGCGTCACCCATTAGCTGGGAACACTATACTAAAATTTCAGCCGCCTAGCTTTTGTGGTTCCCGAGTTGAAAGTGTGGGACAA